GGTGAAAATCCGTGTTGCTATCTAGTGGCTTTGAAGCACTGAGTTCTCCCCCTTCTCAGAAGCGTATGGGAGAGAGGGGCACTTCTCTGATACCTGGTGCTGTCTTTTAAATACATAAATGTGTGTTTAACTTTGACTCTTAAATTTCTTAAAATTCATGACATTAGCTGTTTACAACAGACTAGCTCTGTACCATGTTAATGGACTTCGCTAGCTGTAGAATAACCTCTTGCTTATACTGTGGTCATTCTGTTGCCTTCCTCTCTTTGTGTAATCCACAGGTGGAGTAATAAGGAAGGACGTAGTTGTAGTTACTCATCAGTAATGAGCACAGCACATTCTCTTGATTTCCATGGTTGCTCCGCCAAGGAACTCAGACTTGGGTATTCCATGTCTAGAATAGCAATGAACAGAACTTAGAAATCTTGATCCTTCCTCTGCCCTGTGGTGAGAAAAGTTGCCGCCTTGCCTTGGGAGATTCTGCTTAGAAGCTATGATAGGGACCTGCAGGCTGTGGAACCTATCAAGTCCTTCCTTCCACCTGTAATCTGGTCACAGGAAGCCAAGAGAAGTTATGCATCAAACCTTAATCTGCCTGAGAAACAAGTTAAACCCAAGATGGATTGCTTTTCACTCTGCCAGTGACATTCTGAAGAACAGCAGTTAAAATAATGGAAGTGTGAAGAGCAAGCAGAAAAGCCAGTAAATTAAAGCTTTTTCCCTTAGAAGAGAGAGAGAGAGAGAGAGAGAGAGAGAGAGAGAGAATGAGAGAGAGAGAGAGAGAGAGAGATTTGTCATGAATTAACATGTGTGAGAGGCTATCTCCATGGGAGCTGCCTAGCCATTTTTTCGTGTTATTGAGAATGGAACAAACAGGAAATGTTAGACCAGCTGGCCCTTGTCATTCTAAGAATCAGGCTTCCAAGACCCGGTGCAGATACCTCCTCCCCACCTCCCCAGACTGAGCAAGGATCACACTGACCACGGCCATGACCCTCAGGTGACCATGAGCAATGCCCCAGCTTATTTTAGGGTATTCAGGGTCAAAAGATAAACCTGAGATGAATCACTCATTCTCAGAAATTGTTATATTAATAGCTCTTCCCTTGAGATTCAGGAAGAAAGGCAAGTTATAAGAAGAAGAGAAGCAAACCACACAAATGTTAATCTTTCACTCAAGGCAGAAGGAAATGCCTTATTGTTCCATAGTCTTCCAGTTGGGTGTTTATCGTGAAACATCAGTTACTCCAACATCTACTAAACTGAAATTATCTTCCAACTCTCTTTTTCCTAGTTCATAATAATATTTGTGTTGCTGGACATGGTAGCTTGGCCAGCTGAGGCAGGAGAATCGCTTCAAGTTTAAGACCAGCCTAGGCTGCACAGTGAGTTCAAGGCCAGCCTGGAATACGTAGTGAGACCCCTGTCTAGAAAACAAAACAAAAGAAAACAAGACAATAGTATTTTATATTCATGAATGGAGTAAACAAAAAGACAAACCAAGATATGTGCTTATCTCTGTTTACTATTATTTGAACAAAGATTGATAAGAAATTACATTTAAACCTTACAGAATAATATAATTATCTAGAAGATGTCTATATCAGCATTGGCCAACTAAAATATATATAAGCCACATATAGATTTACTTTTCTAGTAGCCACTTTAAAAAAATAAAATGAAGAGCTGGATGTGGTGGCACACGCCTGTAATCCCAACACTCAGAGGCTGAAGCAGGAGTATTACCACGAGTTCAAGGCCAACCTGGGCTGTATAGTGAGTTCAAGGCCAGCCTGAACTACATAGTGAGACCCTGTCTCAAAAACAAAAATAACAAAAGAAACTAGTGAAAATAATTTTAATAAGGAAATTTATTTAATCCACTATTCCAAAAAATGATCCATGAACTATTCTATAATTTTCATTTCAGACTAAATCATTGAAATCCAGAGCGTGTTTGAAATTTACCGCACACCTCCATCTGGTCTGGCCACATTGCCAGTGCTCAGTAGTCACATGTGACTAGTGGCTATTTCATTGAGCAGCACAACTCTAGAGATAAATGTTAATAAATGACAAGTTGTATTAGAAAGAACAGTCCAGACAGGGTGAAAATCTTAATTTTAAGGGTGGTGAGAACAAGACTAGACAGTTTTTATGAGGCGCATTTCCTTATATGAGAAAACTATAATTATCTTCTAAGCAGTGAGTTAACATAAAAAATGTTATCCATTAGCAAAGGTAGTGTCATATTACCTGAAATAACATGACCAGACTTTAAATGTCTCACTTTTCTCATTGGTAATTTTGGAAAGTATTTTGTTTGGGTAAGTGAGCTTAGCTAAATACCACAGATACCAAGTATCTGTAGTATTTTATAAAGTGTCTAATTGGCGATCCAAAGCATAGGCTGGTCACTGTGGGCTGAAGTACAGCGCCTGGTACTGGGACCTATATGGCCTTCCTGGAACACTGTCCCTTTCATGTTGCTACTAGAGATTTGTTCATGATGGGGTCCCTTTTTGGTCTGAGTCTCATATCTCACTTTTTCCCACCTTTGCAAGTATTTTTTCAAGGCATCACCATCCCTATCAGCCCAACAAACTCCTCTAAAAATAATTCTTATTCCTTTTTAACCTGTCTGTCCCCATATTGGCTGTCTAACTTGAAGGGAAAGGAAGTAGAGAAAAGAAATGCTCAGAAAGAAATGAGCCTTTCTATTATGTTCATTTTCACTAGTCCTGATAATGAATACCGTGGCAAGAGTTGTGCAGACTGTTAAAGACGGTTCTCTGCACCAGTGAGAAGACTGAGTCTTCTCTAGTGAGGACATCAGCTCACCCTGGAGACCAGCATATCCGGATCTATGGGGGAATGTCGTTTGATCTAGACTTGGCCTTTCATATTGAGAATGTCCAACTTATGTTCAGTCCCACACATAGCCTCATTGGACCCTTGGGGCTCTAAAGAATCCTCATATTCTTCCCAAGACAGTACCCATTCCCTACAGTGAAATCAACCTCAAGCTATGGGTATTTTGGATGCTGGGGGAAGAAAACTTGGTTCCATCTGTTCCTATCTTGAACTGCCCAAGCCTTTCTTAATGTCAGTCCTCAAAGTGGGCAAGCATGTCCTGCGGCCAGCAGACCCGAATGCATGGCTGCTGCTTGGATTTTGCCACACTCAAATTGGATCAAGCCTTTTAGGTCAAGTGCAGTTTAACTACTAACCAACCCATGTTTCATAGCCCATAAAGTTGTGACAGAGCAAACAAAGAATATTGCCAACGCTTTCAACACTTACAGACCACGTGGTAGTGGTTATACCTAGAAATTGCTCATTTCCTACATATTTTTTACAGTTCCTTCTTGTTGACCCAGAGTGAGTTATTTTATTCAATATACATAATTTTAATAGTTACCATGACTAGAATCTCGAAAAATTCAGTATGTTTAATGATACAGACTTGATGGATTCTTTATATTCTAAAAACACTGATACCAGCTGTTTGATCTTTATTATAGGTCAAACAAATTCATATTCCTATTGAAAACTGATCATTAATCTATGTTCTCGTTACTGTGTTTGTCATACTATAACTGTTCAAACATGTTTCACTGTTTCATTTTTCTAATAAAACCCATGAAAATGGATTTGGGTAGTAGTAAGGTAGCCTGCCAATATGAAGCAAATTTCCTCATTAATCACACTTTTTATCACAGGCATATTCCTTTTTTTTTCCTTTTGTGGTGCTGGGGATGGAACCCAAGACCTCATGCATGCCAGGCAAGCACTCTACCACTGAGCTACACCACCAGTCCCATATTGTTTCTATAAACCTGAAATTCCATTATTATGAGGGGAAAAATGTTGATCCTGCCTTACAAATGAAGAAGATTGGAACTTTGAGTGTCTGATCAAAATAGCTTGTGAAAGTTTAATTCTCATGTACGGTCTCTTTGGACCCAGGTTCATTTTTAAGTGCTATGGATATTAAGTGACCTTTTGAAGGTTGCTTTAAGCATCCTTAATGGATACTCTCTCCTTATGCCCTCTTAGAAACATTAACAGCTCATTTCTTCTACTTTTTCTGATTTAGTCTCTATATTTATTGTCATTTTAGAGCTTTACTTATGGAATGTTACCTTTTTTTTTTTGTACCAGGGATCAAACTTGGGACCTTGCGCTTGCAAGGCAGGCACCGGTACCACTGAGCTAAATCCCTGGCCCTACTTATGGAATGTTATAATCAAACGCACTTACAAATAGTATGATTCCCTGTATGCTGGCTAATGGTGTGTGTCGGTTCTCAAGAAGAAATTTAGAGAAATGCTGATGTAAGAAGGAATTTTAAATGGAATATGGGTCTTAATATTTGTTTCTTTGCCTAGTGTTAGGGAATTGCTATCATATGACACTTCCTTTGATGTCTTGTACAAGTGAAAATGTACAGTGATTGAAGCTGCAGTACTTCCAGGAGGCTTATTTGAAATTCTGTGGAATTGTGGAGGGAGACTTAAAATCTGGAACATTTCTCAGAATTCCTCAGGAATCACATAGGGTCCTTCTTAAGTACATTAGAATCACTTGCGGTGCTTGTTATAGATTCCTCATGCCCTAACCGCTAAGTCTCTAATTTAGTAAATCTCGACTAATTTGCATACATGAGTCATTCCAGGTGGTCACACTGGAGACTTCAGATGTCGGGCTTCTTAAACTGTAATATATATGCATCATACTGGGATCTCTGGAAGGTGCAGGTTCAAGGTCAGAAGGTCTAGGCCAGAGCCTGCACCTTTGCATTTCTAACAGGTTCACCGCCAATGGCCTTGAAGTTCATTTTGCATCTCAGTCTACCTTTCCTTCTTTGCTAAGTTGCCACCACTCTGATTAACTGTATGCATCCAGGTTAAGCTCTGACCTCCTTTCAATCTTCAGTTTGATAGAATCGTTGCTTACCTTCATAACCCTGTCCTTTTTATTTTCTGCAACACATGTAGATGGGCAGCGGTTTCGTCTTGAAGTGCCATCAGCTGTAACCGAGGTTCCTGATCCCAAAACGTCAGCTCAAAGTTCCAGATCCTCAGAACCCAAGACCATGGAGCTCTCGGACAGTGACCGACCTGTCAGCTTTGGCTCCACCTCATCCTCTGCCTCTTCCCGGGACAGCCATGGTTCCTTCGGGAGCAGAATGACCTTGGTTTCAAATAGCCACCTGGGCTTGTTTCACCAGGACAAGGAAGCAGGAGCCATAAAACTGGAGCTGGTTCCAGCCCGGCCGTTTTCCAGCAGCGAGCTGCAGAGGGACAGCCCTGCAGGGCTGCAGAACATGGACCACAGCAGTGAGATGCAGCCCAGGGCCCCATGGAGCACGAATGCAAATGGGGCGCCCAACACAACTGCAGTCTCGACTACTAGTCCCAAGCTTCTCTATGTGGATAGAGTTGTGCAGGAAATTCTGGAGACTGAAAGGACTTATGTACAAGATTTAAAAAGCATCGTGGAGGTAAGGCAAACTTCACTTTTTCCAAGTTTGACAAGAAAGAGAAACAGGCTTGCAAAATGTAGAACAAAGCCGAGCTCTTTGTGGTTGGGGATGCATGTGTGTTGCTTCCTAAGAGGCAGAAGGTGTGAATGTTTAAACAGAACATAAGAGAAACCCTAGGCCTATACTCGCTGGGTTAACAGCCACATAATATTTGCACACGTTAATTATGTGTCATGAATAAGAATGATGATATTTCACACGTGCTAGTATCTTTTGTTAGTAAGTCCTACACCACAGATCTCAGCAACCTACAGGCGCTGGAGCAGGCTAGGATGGTGCAGGACTTCCAGCCTCCTGGTGAATGAGGAGGTGTCAGGTGGAACTAACCGAACCCATCAGCTGTTCTTACCTTAATCACAGCTCTCCATTCATCTCTGGGAGTTTCCAAAAGTGCTCGTAGCTGGGTCATTGGCCTGGGATGTGGCCTGAGCAGTGGGCTCCTCCCAGGTCTCCAGGTGATTCTTACATACAGCCGCGCCTGTGTCGTGTGCCAGGACCTGTAATGGTTGGTCTCTGGGGGAAGGGAGGGATGGGTAGAAGCAGAACTGTAAGTTCTGTCTTGTCTTGGATGTTTTCTTTCTTTCACTTTTAAAGTAAATGGTTTTACATAAAAATTTTGTGTGATTATTATAATTATAAATTACTTGCATAAATTATTCCCTGTGAATTGAGCTCATCTCATGTACCATATCACATCCTCTGGAAATTCAGTTATTAATTTGACTTTGATTTATAGGTAGGTTTTTGAGGATAAAGTAAGAATGACCAGTGGAGCTCAGATATTAACTCATTTTTTATTTACAATTATGAATATTAATATTTCAAAGGCAAATTTGTATATAGCAAAGCTATACTCATGATATCTATTGCCTATTTTAGGCTTTTATTCTAAAATATGTCCCAGAATATTTACTGGTAAGCCCATTCTCCACCAAATACATACACTGTTAGAGCTTTGGGGAAAAAACTCCCAAAGCCATAATCATGTCTGGAGTTCCACAAATGACAAAACCAGACACTGTCTCCTAAAAATAGTTATGAGATAATTTCCCAGTAAAAATAGAAAAGTCAACTGATGCTCAACCAAAACAATATGTAGTACCAAATGTAGAATAAAGTAGGCCAATTTTTTTTTAATTTCAACAATGTCATTTGTCCTTGAGAAGAAATACCTGTGAAATAGCCAAAAATTTTACAACCTCTCAAGAAACTTATGATAATTGAAGCTTTCTTTAGTTTATGCTCCCTTCCCCTCTTACTTTCTTAGTAATTTTTCCACCTAATCAAAACTCACCTGACTAAGAGAGAAACCTTTAGGTACCAAACTGGTGTAACCAGGAAGACTCTTTTTCTGAGGCTGTTTAATAAACCTCGGACAAGAAGAAATAAGATACAATTGAACAAAAACCAATAAAGACAATTTTTTTCCTAAGAAAGTTTCAGTATAAGTTTTACTTAAAAGTTTCCAAATGCTCTTGCCTTTTTTCTGTATCCATGAGTTAACCCTGCGTTGCATAAGAGGTAGGGGAACTTTTTTCTAGGGCCAGATAATAAAGAGTTCAGGTCTGCTAGGCCCTGTGGTCCTAGTTGCTTGTGTTCAGATATGTAGCTCAAAAGCCCTATAAAGGAATAAATGGTCCTTCAAGCTCCAGCAAATCTTTAAAGCTCCACTTAACCCACTGGTGTAGTTTGCCGACCTCTTTTTCAGACTACAAACTTATGCCACATTTTATCAACTGAAGAATAGGACTAACAGTACCTGCCTAGACTTCTTAGAATTGGGTTAACACGAAATTTCATACAACAGTGTCTGGTACATGGTAGGAGGATGATAAATAGAAAATGTCATCACCAGCCCTTTCTGGATTTCTTGGTTGAGTGTGATCTCCACTGTTTTACCTAAAGTCTTTCCCAAAACAGTCAGGTTATCCATCTCACTACAACAGAATTTTAATTAGGAAAAAAGTTTTAATGAGTCATTCTGACATTATTTTGAATGAAATTGGATTATTTTTAATGAACTCACTGAAAATCTGGGGTGGAACATAAGTAGGGAGGCTGAGATGGAAGAAGGTATCAGGAGGCAGGCTCTGGGGAAAGAGTCTGGAGCATAGAGGGGACACCCAGTTAGGAGGACGTGGCTGCTTCTTTGTTCCCAAGTCACTAGGGAGATCCAGTCATTCACCACCTCTACCTAGAAACCTCAGAATCTGACTCTAGGTAACAGTTATGCACTGTGTATGTTAAGAAGTTAGAAGGAAGGATTTTGAATGTTTTCATTTATTAAAAGAATTAATAAATGTTTGAGGAGATAGGTTTTTTTCTCCGTGAAGAGTCACCAATTATTTTCCCACCTAGTGCCAAGTCTACTCACCAAAGATTATTGGATTTTTTTTTTTTGGTACTGGGGATCGAACTCAGGTCCTTGCGCTTACACAGCAGGCGGTAAAACCACTGAGCTAAATCCCCGGCCCTGTTGGATATTTTTATATGGGTGTTTTTAATCATTTCCTTTAAAATCTGTTTTCTTTGATCTATTATTAACTGGTTTTATAATTTGGTAGCTGACTTTTCTAAAATCCTGTATTTTTTCAAATGAAGATTTTTTTTCCTTCTTTTTTGCAGTACTACGAATCGAACCTTAGGGGCCCTCTAATACTGAGCCACATCCCCAGCCCCTCACCACCCCTCGTTTTTGAGACAATCTCTCACTGAGTTGCCCAGGCTGGACTCAAACCTGTGATCCTCCTGCCTTGGCCTACCATAGTGCTGAGATTGCAGGTGTGTGGCACTGTACCTGGCTCAGATAAAGAATCTTAAATATGAAAGGGAGCTTCGGGTGAATAGTCTAATCTGATAATTTCTTATCATACCCAAAAGATAGATTTTCTTTTTTTAATATTATTTTATTGGTACATTTTAGGTATCCAATATAATGACATTCATCACTGGAAATTTGCACCTTTATATAATCTCTCTTGGTTCTTATTTTTTCCCCCTTCCCCTGCCCTCCCTTCAAACCCTCCATCCCTACAAATTTACAAGGATTTTGTTTACATTTTTTCATATTAATTCCATTCCCTTCTTTCCTTTCTCCTACTCCTCTCAATTCCCCCTCCCCTTTGCCCCTTTTCTTCCTATT